AAGACACACAAGGTCGGTTAATCAGTCTCTACTTTCCCCCTCACTTTAATAGCTCACTCACTTAAGGAGCTCTTGTGTCATTGAGTTGTGCTGCCAGCCCAAGGTTGGTGCTCCTCTGGCAGTTCAAATCCCCCCGCAGTTCTATGGGAGAAAGATGGGAAATCTCCACTTTGATTTCCAGCCTCTGAAAACGTGATGCTCAGCTAGTCGGTTCTGACTCAATGGCAATGAGTCGAGAGGGGCTCTGTTGGCATATTCTGTAGAGAACTGCACTGCAGTCTCCTCCACTCACAGCATCAGAAAGCCACTGGAGGGTCAGATCTGAGTGGGTTCTGACTTGATGGCAATGGGCTTGAGTTGTCATCTTGCTACTCAAAATGTGGTCCATAGACCAGCATCAGCCTCATCTAAGAGCACGTAAGAAATACAGAACTTCAGGCCCCACCCCACCCCAACCCCTCAATTCCTGATAGTCAACCTTCCTTTTAATATGATGCTCGACTGGTCCCCTGCCCAGAATTGTGGAAACACTGTGTTAACGGGAGAAAATAGAAGCTTGACAGTGCAGGCAATTGTAACACACATGCAACCAAGAAACCCACATTTGGTCCATATAAAACAAACCCTTCCCAGGCAACACAAAGGAAGCTTGGAATGGGATGAAGATTCAATTTCCTGGGACATTTTACAGGTTTTCCAAAAGAATTTTCTTGAATGGCAGGTAGGCATCAAAACACAGGCATCTATAGGCCTAGGTGGGTTTCAAGTACGCCTGCACTGTCTGTTATTTAACGACTGAGTTAGGCGTCTTATTTCCAGAGTGTGAATTGGACAGTTCTCAGCTCTCAGAGGCCACCTTGGGCGCTGGCTGTGGGATCCTCCACATAGTTTATGTCTCTGATACCAGAACGGGTGCTCTCTCAACAAGCAGCCTCCAAGCACTGAGGGCCTGAGTCCCAAAACCTCAAGGAACTGCATCCTGCTGATAAGCGACCTCAGATAAGACAGCAGCCCAGCCGATATGCTGATTCTAGCCTTCTGAGGCCCAAAGCTCAGAATTCAGATGAGCCTAGACTTTTTACCCGCACAACTGCAAAAATATGTGGACGTGGCTTTAAACCAACACAGCCACCATCAGTTACCACAGTCACCTCCACCTCACAGCAACTCCACGTGTATCAAAGAACTGTGTGCCATGGAGTTTCCAATGGCTAACTGTTCAGAAGCCAACCAGCAGGCTTTTCTTGTGAACTCGAATCTCTAACCCTCAGTCTGGTAATTTTTTCACAGTGAGAAAGAATAGATACACACTCTGGTGTCTCAACATGAGTGAGAAACTTTTGCATAAAATGCCAGAGCAGCTTAAGAACTGGTGGTTTTTGGTGGGGGAAATTCTAAGGTGCATGATGTTACTGTTGTTGTTATGTTCTGTCGAGTTGCCCGTGTGACTCACAGCAACCCTATGTACAACAGCTCTGAACCGGCCCTGTCCTGAGCCAGTCTCAATGACTCTGACACACCTACCCTGCTGCCCTAGTTATTGTAACAATTCATCTCATCTCAGGTCTTCCTATCCTGCCCTGTCACTCCACCCTTCCAAGCACCCTTCTGCAAGGATCGGTCAGTCCCTCCCAGCCACATGCCCAGAATATATGAAACGGAGCTTCAAAATCCTAACCTCCAAAGAGAACCTTAATTTCACCCTCTCCAGGACATACCTATAGACGCTGTTAAATGCTAGATTGAGTCAGTTTAAATTCATAGCAACCCCATGAGACAGTAGAACTGCCCCATAGAGTTTTCTAGACACGTTTTCTAGGGGTAGATAGGTCACTAGGGCTTTCTCCTGTGAAGTCACCAGACAGGTTACAACCACCAACCTTTTGGTAACAGCCTAGAGGTTGACTGTTGCACCACTTCGTACTGGATTTCTACTTCACATGGCAGGAGTGAGGAGCTTGTCACTGGAAACTGGAAGAGGGGAGACCCTTGTTATATTGCTGTTATGGGCTGTTAAGTTGGAACCGACTCTGCAGAGGCAGAAAGAGAAAATAAAAGAAAAAACCACCTGTAGCTACGTGGAGAGTCAAAAGAAATCCCCCGTGGATTCTTAGCCTCATTTTACAGATCAGGAAATGAATCCAGAGGAACTGCTGGTGTGAGAGCAGCCTCCAGGGCTCCCAGCTCCACACACCAGGCCCAGAGGCGGATTCGTTCCACCTAGTGGGAGACTCGTGGAAACCCACTCAGGTGAAATCATGCAAGGTGAGTATTTCCTCACATCAACATGGGGTTTTTCTCACGAGTCTTCGCCTAATAGTGAAGGAAAAGGTTTTCAAAATATTGTGAATGCACAATATATACAAACATGGCATGCAAATTAGTGTAAAACTAAAAAAACAACAACATTGTGAATATCTTCTACTCTGTGAAAATAATTCCCTTGATAGCAAAAAAGGGGGATCCATTTGCTGCTTTTTCTTCACTCAAGCCAAGTTCATCTGCGGTGGTGCTCAGTGGACGCACACGGCAGCCTCCCCGTGCCCCATGGGTTCCGTTCATGAGGTCCACCTGCCTGTGGACACGCACAGCCTCCCCGTGCCCCATGGGTTCCATCCATGAGGTCCACCTGCCTGTGGACACACACACACACACAGCCTCCCCGTGCCCCATGGGTTCCGTTCATGAGGTCCACCTGCCTGTGGACGCACACACAGCCTCCCCGTGCCCCATGGGTTCCGTT